AGTTTTTAAAATCAACCTTCATTTGAAGCTATAGTTTCATAGTGGTGAAATCCTCTTAACTGGGAGCCATAATCTAGGGATCAGATTTAGTATGTAGAGGTGTAAAAGAACTGAGTTAACATGAGCTGGAGGCAATTTTAGCTTAGCTCTTTCACAAACATCTTGTTTGAGCTCAACTTGAGCTGTTGTGACAGTTTAAGTTTGGTTAATCTAAGTTCACGCTTGTTCGAGTTTTGATTTTGCTCTGCTCATGATTGATTTATTTTGTGATTATTGAGAGTAGCTCTTTTTTAAATTTAAATGAGCCTGATTGAGTTGATATTGTTTAACCTAAAAAATAAGACTTTAATTTAACAAGCTTTTAAAATGAGCTTTAAAATCTTGTTTAGCAATATCTGTCACTCAAAATTCTTCCATCATTTGAATCATGTGTATGTCCTACATGGATTACAAGCTCTTGCAGTTGACCTCTTTTTTTCCATTTAAATAGTATTAAAGTAAACCTCTGAATGATGTGAAACTAAATGTCTCACAACTAATAAGTTTGAAAATTTAAATGAAATGAGAAAAAAACGTCACGTGACACATGACATAAAATAGAGCTTCATTTTTAAATTTTTTTTGGGTGTTGAAGTGTGAATAATGCATTTATTAAATTTTTGCTTGTTTGCATAAACAAATAAATTGTGTTGGTGTTAAATAATTTAGTTGATAAAGTTCTAAAATGTTACTGTTAAAATTTTGAAATTAAGGTTCTATTTGGGATAACTTCTTCACATCATTGCTCTTTAGACCATACCATAATTTCATTTTGCTGCTACTTTCTTGCTGCTGTCTTGCTTCTTTTTTGAGATTTATGTGATAGGAAGCTATTTTTATAACCAGAGTTGCTAGTATGTTATATTTTTATGAAAGCAACTGTCTGAATTTAAAAAAAAAGAACATATTTATAATATTCATAGTAGCTTTAAAAAAGTTATTTTTCCCACAAGCATCTTTACAAAATATTGTAGTCGGTCACTAAAATTCTCATTTAAATATAATAAAAAAAATCATTTCTATTATTTTCTAATCAAGTCTTTTTAGGTCTACCTCGCTCTCTCTTAACATAGACCAAATCTAATATATCTACTCTCTTAATCGGATCATGAGTAGACTGACATTTTATGTGACCAGTCGTCTAAAGCAACTCTTTCTACTCTTATTTGCCGCTGGAGCTACTCCAACATTTTCACGTATTTAACATTCTATCTCTAAGAGTAAGACCACTTATCCACCCGAGCATCATCTTCTCTGCAGCACTTAACTTAATTGTATGCTTCTCTTTTGATGACCAACATTTTTGCGCCATAAAACATTGTAGTTGTCTCATCACCATCTTATAGAATTTTCTCTTAGTTTGAGGGGTACCTTTTTATCACACAACATGCCCGATGAATTTCTCCATTCCAGGCATCCAACTAGAATTCTACTAATAATATCCCTATCTATTATACCCGATATATTTAAAATATGTACTCTTTTTAATGACTTGATTTTCCAAAATCACAATATTCTATTAGATTTATTACTACTAAAATTACACTCAATGTATTTGATTTTAGATCTACTCAAATGAAAACCTTTAGACTCTAAGGTTGATCTTCATAATTCAAGTTCACCTTCAACTCACTATCTATTCTTATCAGCAAGAAGAATATCATGAGCAAGAAGCATACATCATGGCACATCCTTCTGCAAATGTCTAGTAAAACATCCATGACTAAATCAAAAAGATATGGCCTTAAAGCTGATCCTTGATGTAATCCAATTAAAATAGGAAAACATTTGGTCTAACCCTCCTGTGTTTAAACTCAAGTAATAGCTCTTGCACACATATCTTTAATGACTTGAGTCTTTTCTTTTCTAAAACTATCCATAACAATTATCTAGGAACTTTATCATAGCTTTCTCTAAATAATAAATATCGTATATAGATCCTCATAATTCTCCCTGCACTTCTCCATTAAACCTCTTAATAAATATATAGCTTTCATAGTAGATCTACCCGGCATGAATCCAAATTGATTTTGAGAAACATTTGTATCACATCATAACATATACTCAATACCTCTCTCCCAAAGTTTTGAATTATGACACATTAACTTATTTCCTCTATAATTCACACGCTCTTGTGCAACATCTTTATTCTTAAAAATAAAAATCGACACACTCCAATAATATGACATCTTTTTAGTCTTCAAAATAATATTGAAAAATTTTGCAAACCAATAAATTCCTTGATCTCCTAAGCATTTCCACACCTCCATTAGAATATCATCAGGTCTAACAGTTTTTCCACACTTTATTTTCTTTATAGTCTCTCTAACTTTGATTTTACTAATACGCCGATTAAAAAAATCTATTTTTATTTAGGATGCTAATATTTTCATAATTTTCATTGAAAATCTTATCAAAATATCTCGTCTACTTCTGTTGAATATACTCTTCTAATAAAAACATTTTTTGATCTTTATACTTAATGCACTTCACTTGAATTAAATTCTTACTTCTTCTATATCTTTGTTTGGCTATTTTATACATACATCTTTTGCTTTCTTAGTATTTAATCTATTATATAAATCATTAAAAGTTAGATTCTTTGAATCTTATATTATTTTCTTAGACTCATGGGCATTTTTATATGTTTTCTATTGTTTCGGGTTTTTATATCTAAACCAATTCTTATAACAAAGTTTATTACTTTTGATCTTTTCTTACACATTTTGATTCTACTCCAAGCTATTTTTATTATTAGAAGTTTTTCCTTTTGATACTTCAAACACATCCTTTGTAATATTCTTATTATCATTAGTTAATTTTTTATGCAAAACATTAACTTTCTCATGTTGATGGGGGCAAATTACTTCTTTATTTGTTTTGAATCTTCGTTGGGAATTGCTCGTAACTTTATTCTAAAATTACTCTAATCGAAGAGTTGTGCAACGCCTAAATGAACCCATATGCATCTCATCTAAGTAGTCCTGCATCACATGTACAATCAGAATGTTAAGATCTTGAATCTTACTCAAAATTATTTTTTGTTAGTGTTATTTAAATACATCATCTAATTTTAGGATAACATTTACTTTTGTTTTTTCATATTATGTTTCTTCATGTATTTATGTATGTATTTGTGTGTTATATATATATATATATACACACACACACATAAGCCTTAATTAAGCATCTTAATAAGCTAGTTCACTAGCTTTAAATAATGCTATTCATCAATCAAGCATTAAGCTATTCAAGTTTGTTTATTTAACAATTAATTATTAATAAATGTGTTTAAGCTTATTCAATTAGTTCATTTGCAACCCTGTTAGTACGTGTGGTTAATTTGATCGTCCATGAATCATAATTGAGCCATGTGTGTGGAAAGGTTAAGGTTTCGTGCTTATCAAATTTTAACTCTTTGATTTCTCCATGAAAATTGCTAAAGGTTGTGATTGACAGAGAAAAAAGAAATCTTCAAGCACCTTCACCTTGATCATTAACGAGGACCCATTAACTGATTGGCATTAAACAATTCTTTCTTCTATATCATGCCCAACACTTTGATTTATATAATGTAGTCCATCTAATTATAATCTTATGAAATTTATCTTGCTCTTTCAAGAAATATTTATTTGCTTAACTGATGTATAGATGATAAATGACTAATTGAGTCTTGATTTAGATTTTGTTTGGGACAGTTTTCTCATTGCTTTTTAAAATAATTTTTTGGCAAAAATTATTAATTCAAAAAAATATTTCTCTAAAAAGCTGTTTTTGAAAGCATTAAAAGAGCTGTCCCAAACGAAGCCTTAGATATCATTCATATCAAATAAATTCTTTTGTAATCCTTGGAAGCTGTCTTTGTATGCATGTTTTAATTTTTAATTGTTCGCATAGGACATTTGGGAGATTTATATAGAGAATTTACCTCTACTCTTTACATTTTATTTTCCTTTTCAGTTTGAGCGAAATAGTTAGGATGCCCTATGTATATAGCCCATCCTCAATGCGCTGCCATGTTTTACCATAGTCAAGCTTGAACAAGTTTTCATCATAATTCTTTGTTAGATTCTATTGCTGTTGTTTGGCAAATACTCTCCTGCTGCGAGACATATATTATTGACACTTTACAAAATATCGTCTTAATATTTTAGATTGCTGGCTTCTCTCTTTTCTCTTGCAGAAAAAACAAATCGCAATGCTTTTTTGTTCCTCATCAGTCTAATAATTTAACTTTGTACTTTCACTGCTGCTACCATAACTGCTTATTGCAATCTCTTCCAAGAAAACCAGTTTTTTTTTTTTGAAGATAAAGCAAATTGCATTAATACTGAAAATAAAGAAAACAAAGTAACCTATGTGATAGAAATCCTATCACAGTCATTCCTTATCAAGTCAACAATACTTGAAGGAAGTTCACTAAAAACAAAAGAATCCCAAAAAAAAAAAAAATCTCCATGTAGGGCAAATTTAGAACAAGCATCCACCACCCCATTACTCTCTCTAGACACAAAATGAAACATTCCATTATGAAAAACATCTAAGAAAAAAAAATCTAGTCTTCGAATCTTCTTCAACTGATTATTGCTCCTCAATAAAGAATCTTGCAGAAGATTAATAATATTTAAGTTATCACCTTCTAAGATCTTCTATGATGATACCAAGCTTATCCGTCATCCAATTTTCAATAACATTATTGAAGTGAAACACAGCTCACAATTCCATAAACGAAATATCCCAATGCTTCAACCTCTTATCATATGCTAACAAAAAACAACCTCTATGATCACGCAAGATTCCAGCAATACTCGTCTCATTGGTCTTCAATAGTGCTGCATCTACATTCAATTTAATCCAATTTGTAGGAGGATGCCAAATTTTCCAACAAAACCAGTTGTAACTGTGTTTTAGTTCTCAGGCTGCGTAACGTTAAAATACTCTTCATCCATTTTTTTGTGCAGTTCATGTTTGATTATTTCTCCCAGAAGAACCTATCAGTGTGAATACGTGACCAGTTTAATTAGGGCCATCAATTTTCAGAGGATACAGAGATAACTGGACCGTTGATTCTACTTTCAGTTCTTTTTGGATTTGGTAAACTTGTTGAATATTCTTTGGCAGTCGGGTGGTATTATGAATGATCCACCATTCTACATGTCCTTTCTTTGTCTGATTCAAGTTGGTAATCTGCCTATTTTGGATGGAGGATTATTGCCAGTTCTACCTCAATTTTCAAGCTAATTTATTGCATTCTCTCTAAACGATATATGGTTTACATGCACCTTAATAGAGAAAAAACGAGAACAAATTGCTTCTGCTTCGAGAAAAATCTTTATTTCTTATGACTCTTGTACCTTTTGAACTTACAGTTGAATGAAATGGCAACTTCTGGAAGAAAACTGCTTATCAAGCTTGTTATATTATATAAATAAAAAAAAATGTCATAAAATCTTATCAGCAAAACCTTCCTTTGTTACGACTCTTGCCTTTTGTTCTAATTTCTCAAGGGTTGAATTGTTATTAGGGGGATTTACATGCATATCACAAAAGTTTTATGTATTTATTTATCTAATTTTTAATATTTTAAATTATCTAAAAAATATTATTAATATTAAAATTTTTATAGTATATTTTTGTTTATTTGTGTTTTATTGTGATTTGAAATATTAAAATGTTAGATATGTAAATGTAGAGCAATTATTTTCACATTTTTAGGCTGACTTGGGCTTGGGCTGACCTACGATGATTGGCTTCCTTGTATTAAGAGGCTTTTCACTGTATTGTGAAAGTTCCTGTGAATTGTGGTAATTTAAAATTATTGCAAAATATCCGTACTTATAGCTAATTTCCATAAAACATATTATATTGCAAAATAAGAATATCCATTGAATAGTTCAATAAGAATTATCTTGTATACTATGTGAGGAAAAGATCAATACAGAAATCTACAAAAAAATAGGAATATTTGATGACATAAATTGGTCCAGTGATTTTTGTTGTTAATACTCACTACCAAGTTTGGAGTGGATATCAATCATTATTTTGGATTCAAATTTATTCATGGGTGATACTTTGATTGTACTAATGAATAAATTTGAACTAATATTTGCAAACACATGGATTAGATCATGACATGTTACATGTGGATACTTATATATAATGTTGTTCTACCTGCCTTCTATTAGAACCAATGACAAATGGTCTATGCAAATGACTCTTGGGTTAATGTCATGAGAGAATTCTTTCGGGTGAATATCTTAGGTAGGCTCCTTTCTTTGAGTTGTGGGTTTTAGCATGACCGATGGGGCTATTACTATGGGATTCGTAAATGTACATCTCCTATAGTTTAGTTGAAGAGCCCTATAAGAAAGGCGAGTCACCTCAATTAGGGTGAGTCTTTACTCTTTACTTAGCCTCAATTAGGGTGAGTCTTTACTCTTTACTTAGCCTCAATTAGGGCGAGTCACCTCAATTAGCGAGAGCGAGAGTCGTTAACACGACGTAGAGGGACATCCGATCGTGCGAGGTCGTGGGCGACGACGTGCTGAATTCGGCGCCGGACAGGTACGTGGATTTTAATTATTATTATTTTTTTTCTCTCTTTTGTTTTATACAGCAGGTCAACAATTATATAACATAATATGCTTAACAATCCTTTGCTCAGAGGTTCCTTAAGCCATTCTTCATCATTTCCTTATGATTTTCTTGAGCCTATTCCGCCTCCTCTTGGTGGCCCAAGAATAGCGGTCTTAGTGTTATCTCCACTAGAGGCCATTCTAGGGTGAGTTTATGATTTAAAGGAAGAACTTACCCGTGTTAAGGTGAAGTCTAAAGAAGAGAAGAAGAGTATTATGAACTTGGAAAAGGTGCTATATTTTATGATCTTGGGTGGGGACATCAACTCACTATGCTCACTATGCTTGTAGATTTGAGGCTGTGGTAACCCACAAGCTTTTGAAGTCATCACGATCGAGTCAATTCCTAGTTGAAGACATTATCATCCTATGACACCTAGTTAGGAATGGGATAATCTCCCTAGCCATTCTTATGGATTATATATTTAAGTTTTTTTTTAGGGTGAGTGCTATGAAATCATCATAATGTAATGGAAACATATAAAAATTAAAACTTACTGTGTTTATGTTGGATTTATTTTTTTATTTACATTTGGAGACTACTTTATTACCTGGGATGCCTCATTGTTGTTCATTTGAGAAGTGCGAGTGATCTTATTGTAATGATGAGAGAGTGCGAGACATCAGATATGTTCAGTTATGATAGATGTGACTTTTAATTTAAATTTTGAGTCTCATCTCTTTATAAATATATCTAAAACCTCAATTTCGGGTACTATTTCTCTTATTTTCTTTGACTTTCTCTCTATTCATTTATTCTCTTACTCTTTGCTGGTGTGAGTGCTTTATTAAGATGGTTGTGCTGCAAAGGTGCCATAAGAATTGTAACAGGTTTGAGTACTATCAAGCTTTATAGGTGATTCATCTTTCGCCTGTTATGACCTTTCATGTGTACTTCATCAAGGATGAAAATTTCTCAGTGCAAGTTCTCAATCACGATGAGTGCTTAAACACTATGGTTGATGATTAACTATGCTTCCCTTAGAATTACTTCAAAGTTTGTCTACCACTTCTACTATGCTATGAGTTTATTAAGATCTTGAATTTCAACGAAATCATCCTTACCCATATAATGCTGAACTTTGTAGCGAGCATCATCCCTTTCATCTCGTACATGAGATTAAAGAATATCCCTTGTGGCCTTACCTTATTTGAACAAAATTTTAACATACTTACTTTTAAGGATAGGTGCATTCAAAATTTTTCACATTACATGGGGATGAGTGGATTGGCCAACAAAGTGAGGGATTTAGGTACATTTGTCTTCTTGAAGTTGGTAACTAAATAGATGGTGACGATCATGCCTATTCCATTTGACAGGGAGAATCTAGTCATGATAAAGTTGGATGAGGAAGACTCCAGGGATTTTGAAAACATTTCTTGTAATGATGCTAAAAAAAAAAATATTTTTCAAGTAGGCTCGACTTGTATAGTTATTATGAGAACTATAATATTCTTTAATTCTTAGGCCTTGACTTTCTTAATGGTCAGGGAGAGAAGAAGATGAAAGATAAGGTGTTGGCGTCATTATCTTTCTACTCAATTGGTAGTTCATTCTTAGCCACCTATACATGTTACTCTCCTTTTACTCCATTCATCCTTAAACCCTATCGATAGATTTATCTTCTTCGTCACCTACTATGTCTTAAGAGGATCTTGATGACATACCGTTGAGTGATGATAAAAGAGGTTCTCCAAATGCACCGCTATTTGCTCAGTATTATGGGTGCTAATCTGGCCTAGGAGTGAAGAGCTCCATATTGAGGAGTTGTCATTTGCAAGGACTTGGCTGTTGGGGAGCCAATGTGTGGTCTTCTTTGAATTCATCATAGAGGAAAGGAGGAGGAGAATAATAATAATAATAAGAAGAAGAAGACGCCTTCCAAGAATCCTAAGGCCAGGAGGTTTATGTTTTTTTCTATATGTATATGCCATTCACCAAAGGTATACAATATGGGGATTAACATTTACTCGCATGTCATTGAGGCTAAGTTAGATGCTAGCCCTACCCCAAAGCTTGCCTTTGCACCTATGGCTGCTTATGCTACAAGTTGACAAGGTACCTTCACCTTGGCTCACAACCATAGAACTTGCATGAGGCTCCATATTCAGTTTGAGGATTTGACCCAAAGAGGGAAAGCACCCTTCAATGAGAATGTTTGAAGATAAATATTATTTTATAATTTGATGTTAGGCTTCTTTTTGGATGAGAGTGACAAGGTGAGTGTGGCCAATAACTAAAGTTTTCCTTTTTTACTTTTTTATTTGCTCTATAAAAAAAATTAATGTATTTTTTTTTGAATAAATGAATGAAAAATGAACTTATTAATTGTTCACATTTTATTGTCACGTATGTTTATTTTATCCTTTATTTAAATCATGGATATGTGACTCTTAACTTTCCCTTTGAAATATAGTCCTTGAAAATATTTCCTAACCTAGGGAGAGTCTTTCTTTAGGATAAGTTCTCATTAGTAAGTGCCTCCTTGCCAGCATAGGCCAAAAGCTGTCTGTATCGCCTCTATCTCTATTGTGGAAAATTGCTCCATTAGTCAAATCTATCTAATGTGTGCTTCATTTGTTGGGCTTCCTTGGGGTGAGTGCCTATTATTATTAAATCTTATTGAGGTGGGCCCCCTCTCTGAGTGGGCTTATATCGAATGAGTGCACTCTTATCTGAGCTCCATTGAGGTGAACTTAGAAAATCCTTGTAAATTAGTTGTACCCGTGTATTAATGTGCACAGTGCTAACCTTCCTAAGAAGAAAACTAAATTGTTTACTCATCAAAAAGCTTGGTGAAGATGTCCATAACTTGCTTTGCTTTTTATAAGTTCTTTATTTTGATCAATCCAAGTTATGTCTTTTCATAGATGAAATGACTATATGATTCATACTTTTTGGTTCATTCATGAAAACATGACTAGCAACCATATGAAGCATGACTTAATTATCATAATATTATATGGCTGATGTTTGTAGTCTTAATATTAAAATATATAAGAAGTGTATCCATTTTATTCATAAGTACCTTGGGCCATAGCTCGAATATTCATAAGTATCAATTTTTATTTAGCTTAAAGAAGCAATAAAAAAAAAATACTATATCAGGACCATACTTGGAATAACATAGGACTCATAAAGCTACTTTAAGATATTGTTGCATTGCTATATGCATGAATTGTCTCATAATGCAAAAATACCAAAAAAATGACACTTGCTTGAGTAATGGCTAACTAAAGCAAGCACCTAAAAATTGAATCATGGTTTTTTTTCCTATTAAGATAAAATATTTTGTAGAAGTGTAAATGGTTTTTTTATTAAGATAAAATATTTTGTATCCCTTTTACCCAAATATATATCCTATGAATATGCTAGGCTTTAATATAGTGTCAAACTTTAGTCATTGAGGTGAAAGGTTATGGGTAAAATATAGGTCTCAAAGAATTTAAGGTGTAAGTAGACAAATAGAAAGCCAATAGACATTTTATTGGGATTGGTCCTTTTTAAGATAAGGGAATTTTGTTAATTCGATAAATTATGGTAAGATAGAGTTCTCCCTCCCAAACACTTTAAATGAATATACTTTGAAATCTGATACTCCAAGCAACCTTTAGAAAATGATAACGACAATCATTTTGTTGTGTTGTGTAAACACAAGTACTTCGATAAATAATTTTGCAAGAATTAAAAAACTTTTTATAAGTCTTCAGAAGATAAATACTTTTAATGTTGAAGGCATAGTGAATTTCATCAAAGTTTTAAAACAATTGCCCCTCCCTAAAAGTTTTAAAATATTATGATCTTTAGGCAATTGCCCCATGTATAAT